TATATACATAACATATAAATGTTTTTTCTACTTTTAAGATAATATGATGTCAGCTTGTTACAGATTTCTTTATATGGGCATCTGCTCCACTGGTACATGTGTCTACATGCTTACATTAGGTAAACATGTAATCATGGTTGCCAATTATTTATCCCTCTGATTTTGGGTCATGTGAAGATTTTGGATTAGAAGTTTTTATTGGTAATTTCACAATAGAAAGTGCCGCTATGGTCTGTTTCAATCATTCCCCCCACTGCAGTGCCAAGAGAGCAGATACAAAGACCCAGAAACACATGTCAGGAAAAAAAAATCAGGATTGTTAAATCCAAGCAAAGTTGTCAAGAATGGGCACAATCTTTTGGGTATTGGCATGTTGCATGTTTGTTCAAATCCAGAGTGACACCAGAGAGGAGATCTGAATGAAGCAGAATGCATTAGTCCAGAAGTGGGACTGAAAATGATCAATTTCCACACTTCATCTATAAAAGATACAACTAATTTCATATTAAAAATATATTTCTTTAGTTAATATTTTTTAAGCAGGTGCCAGAAAACATCGTCCAGTGTAGTTTTTCCTTCTCTGCCCTGGCAAAGGCAAAACTCACACACACACACACACACACACACACACACACACACATTCACACTCACAGACACACACACACACACAGGCAGGTGAGCTATATCTTCCTCTGCACTGCAGCTGATGTTGTGTATGGGATGTCCCCCCTCAGATAAATGCAGTCTTCTAGCTCACTGACAGATGGTGAGTAATGCACAGAGTTTGGCCCAGTTAGCTTGGCACTCTTTGGCTCAGAGCCAGCAGGCTTGAAATAGGCCATTAACAGGCACTGCACCATGAGCATTTATCACCAGCCCTATGGATGAGAGAAACAGTTGTTAAGCGATTGATCAAATCGATTGGCAAGTCCAGTCACTGCCGACTACACAGATCTTTTGACATGTGTGCTGCACTCTCCTGTGTTACACATGGACCACAACAGTTACCAGGGTCCATCTTGGTTACTGTCGGGTGTCATCTAATTCAGTGTAAATGCACTCCAGAATCAACCTGGCAGAGAAAGCCCACCAGTATTGCTGCACTACGTGTAATCTGACAAGGCTTTGGTAAGCATTTGTTAAGGACAGACACCATTTCAGTCACGTTGCACAAAAGATGATTGATAGTGCTCCTCGCTGAAACAACAGCATGAACTTTTCCTTCCCCTTATCGGACTTGTCCACCTCTCACTGGACTGTCAATGTTTTTTGCTCTAGATTAAAAAACTACAAAAACATGGAAGCTGTTTGTTAAACACTGTCAAATTTCATATTCAAGTATATAAGGACCGGACTCTGAATACATTTCCTGCAAGAAATTGAATATGCATTTGCAAAATTTGCTGATTGTTCCTGCTTCCATGTAGGGTTTAACTGAAGGAGGTTTTTAAAACAAAAATCTTGTAGGGAAAACTGTAATAGCCTGGCAGCGTGCAGATTAAGTGAGCGACTTAAATCTTAACTTTTGCAGGATGTTTCAAGAGGCAGTGAGTCATGTCGTCATGTAAACCACGTCTCTCGGTTTGCTGATTGTTCCCGCTTCCAGCAGTAGGGTTTAACCGACTCTCAAAGGATGTTTTTAAAACAAAAATCGTGTAGGGAAAACTGTATAAGCCTCGCAACTTGAAGATAAAGCGAGCCACTTAAAACTTGCTGTGGGAGGTAAAATCAATAATTCTAGTTTGTCAGTAGAAGAAAGGGCTTAATATGTACAATCTGACATGAGCAGTGACAGCTGGCGATGTAACAATGTCAGTCTCAAAAGATATGAGAAAAGCTGTGAGCAAGGAGGAGTACAAACACTATTTCTGTTGTCTTCTGTGTAGCCTAGGCTCTGATTAAGGTGCAGTGAAGCATAAATGGAACGGCTGGTTTCCTGTCTGCGAAAGTTCACCCCTGTCAGTCTCTCTGAATCCCTCCCTGCTTGTCCTTAAAACACGGGTTCAGAAAATGGTGCGAAATGCGCATTTCCACAGCTGATGCGTGTGAATGAAAGTTGGTGTTCCTGTTTAGCGTTGCTGCACTGACTGAGGCAATTTCAGAAATCTGTCGGAGGCACTGTTCTCTAAAATCCTTTCACGTGCACGTCAGTGAGCACCTACACGCCTGATGCTTTCACTTTTGATACATCATTAACAAAAGTACACATCCACCCCACCACATACATGTTCCTATGCGTACATGTGAAGCACAAAAAGAAGCTTCTCCAAAGGGTCTTACATGTCATCAGGTAGTCTTAAGTTTAAATTTCTTAAATCCTAAAGGAGCAGTGTGCAAGATTTTAGGAGATTTGTCAGTGAGGATTGCAGATTGCAACCAGTTGAAACTCCCCCGATGAGAATTCTTTCAGTGTTCAATGTTCAGGGAGGGTTTTACCAGGAGCCGAATTGTCAGCAGAGGTCTCTTCCTCTCCAAAACGAACGGACCTGGTGACTAAAAATGGTAAAAGCACAGCGAGCAGTTCACGTTAAAATCAGTATTTCACAGCGCTTGCAGTGTGTGCTCGCCTTTTTTTTCTGGTAACTTAAGATCCACATGTTGAGGAGGTTTTTAGCGGTAGATGAATCGTTCACAGAGGTCTCTTCCTTTCCATAACAAACGGATCTGGTGATTCAAACCAATAAAAAACTGACTTAAGCAGTTTCACGTAAAAAAAACCCCAAAATCTGTGTTTGTCGCAGGGGGGCTTTTGGTTTGTCCATTCTGGGCTATTGTAGAAACATGGCAGTGCAACATGGTGATCGCCATAGACAAGGACCCACTCCCTATGTAGATATAAATGGCTCATTCTAAGATAACAAAAACACAATGATTCTTAATTTCAGGTGATTATACTTTAAAGAAAACGTTATATTATATTTAATTTCTGCCAGTTTAACCCCCCCTTAATCCTACATACTGGACTTTAATTGCCACAAACACTAATTTCATTTATCCATCTTTTAAGTCTTAATTCTTTTTGTCAAAGTGAGTCAAATCCCACATTTTTGATGTTCTACTTTTTCAGAATGCCACTGAACCTAATACTTTATACCTGCACTTACCTTTTGGCAAAGAGTGGTTTAACCTAACTCACCTTACCTCTGCACTGGACCACATATTTACCCTTATACTTACCATCAATGCAAGAAAAAGTAAGAAGTAAGAAAAAGATGATTTGTCCACAAATCGGTCTTAAATTCAGTTGAAAATTATATTAAAATCTTTAAATTTAAGTGTTCGACACCTGTAGTAACCATAATACATGTTTAAATTTTTAACCTGTTTTAAGTCCACTCACTGAGGTCAATTAAAACCACTTACATAGATTTATTTCACATTTTGACTTGCAAGAAAAAGAAAAGCACAAGTGTCATTAATAGCATCAATGATTAATACACAACACCAGGGCTCTGGAACTGGTATGCTGTTATGACGTATAAAAATGGCTTTTGTGAAAAAGGTCCATCGAAGCCCTTTAAGTGACACTGAAGTGAAAAGAGTGCAACACCCCTGTCTCCTCTTGGCTCATAGACGAGTGGGAGTGAATTCTTTCAGCTGCCTAAAAATAGAGAACAAACATAACTTAGTCAAATGTAACCCCTCAGTCCCACACTGGACTCAGACTTCTTGTATGAGCAACATTTTTCTCTGGCTGACTTTTTTAGTAATATGGACAAATAATAGATATTAGAGATAGTGTGTGTGTGTGTATGTGTGTGTGTGTGTGTGTGTGTGTGTGTGTGTGTGTGGGATTTTCCTATTCATAAGCCTGACAAAAGGCTATATTATATTTCTGTGAAAAGCACAGGAAACAGCGGTGCTAATGATGGCCTTTCTTTTAATCCAGTTTCAGAGTTCTTCAGAAGAATTCAGAAAAATTCCCTGCGGTCCACACTACACTTGCATGTTGTGACTAAAAAGGATAATTATGTTGACAAAAATGTTACAGTCACTGTATATGGGGTATTAATGATGGGAGTTCAATGAAATCCAGCTTCATTGTATTCTACTATAAAATTTCCCCCTGGTTGACACCCGACTTTGAAGTTATTTTTAACACAGCAGTGATGAAATATTTAAATGAGGAGGAAGCAGCTCACGAAATCCATATAACCCTGTTATCATGGTCAAGTTCTCCCATGCAGTCAGAAGTATATTTTAAAAGTACAGGTTTCAGTGAAAATCTGATGGAAAGTTATTTGTTTTAGGTGTGCGCAGTGTCCTCACTGGACCAAGTTAAAGGCTCTTTTTTTTAATCATAACTCATGAATTGTGAGATGTTGAACCAAATTTTTACTTCTCTGTATCTTTGGTCCAGCACATCCAGTATGTATAGTCATACAGGCCACGACCATCAACCCATTGGTCGATGGAGGAAAACAAAATCTGCTCCTGATCTCCAGATTAACTAAATCAGCCGCAGTGCATTCTACCTGGTGGCGCTGTGTTTCCATCAAAACATTTTTTTCTGAGACTAGTGTATTTTTAAAAAATCTTTGTAATGGGAGTTACACTATGCTACAAATGCCTGCAACGTGATGAAGTGCCGAGCATCTATTCTGTGCTGAGCGCTGCATGCTTGGCATTTTTTCCTGATTGCTGAGAGTTGAAAAAGGTTCAGCTCTGGGTAAAACGCTGCGCTAGTCACTGATACTTTTTCCCCAACCGTCCAAATGTAGTGGAGCAGGGGCGGGTCAAATACCACAAAGACCAACTGACACCTCCTAAATTTACAAGTGCTGAACAACAACAACAACAATGAAAGTACAATAAATACTGCTGGCCACATAGACTTGCGAGTCTGTCCTCTTACCCTCCGTAGTTCAGCCTTTCCTTTGTCCAGAGCAGGAGCCAGGGCAAGTGCTCACCTTGTGTGGACATTTTTACTTGTGAGACAAGACCCAACCAAGTGTCTCAGCTGAAAAACACTACACCTCCAAAGCGCTCTAGCACTCCCACCTGGGCATTTTCATAAGAACGGCTGGTATTTTCATCTGGGAACAAACACTTTTATGGATGCACAGCCTTTTAAAAGTAACACCAGTAACTGTCCAGCCAATGAGAATTTGGTTAGACAAGATAGACTAATCGACCAGAAGGTGTCCGCTGTACTAATCTTGTGTTATCTTAAGTGTATGGTCGTACTGTTTTACCGTGAATGGTTGCAAAATCACTCATACCCAGTGTTATACAGTTCATCCTTTTCCACAGCTCTACACTTGACAGTTTTTAGGAACTTGTGTGTTGCTGTATGCAGACCCTGATCCAATGCAAACTCTATTTTCTATTATTAGAATAAAACAAAAAGGATTGTGCCTTGGGGAGGTATGAACTCTGTCAGTGCTTCCCACTGTAGTTATAGATGTTTTTACAATTAATCTCACAAGTATACAGTAAATGAGACTCTACATACATTCAGGTAAGTTAAATCTGCATTTAAACAAGGTGTTCCGGTTAAGAAAGCACAGTTAACAAAGTGCTTTACAATCAAGTCAATCAAATCTGATTGTATGAAATTATTACAAGTACTATTTGGATGAGGGGGAAACACTGTGGGCATTCAGTCCTCTTGGCTGTCCCTCTCAGTGTTTCACAGTGGGCTCACTTGCATTTTAATGAGGTCCCATTCAGCACATCACACAGCCAATGAGCTTCCTGGCTGTGTGACTCTGGTTTGTGGGCCGTGACAGGCCAGGGGAGATGGTTCTGTTTGGTTTCCAGCCCAGCAGCTTCTATCTCAGCCCCATGCTTTTTCAACCTCATGCCTCTTTCTCTCCATCTCTTTCCACAGCTCCAAAAGCGAGTAAATATTTGTTCTGGTGTCCTATAGCTGAGAGGTACAAAAACGGTTGAATTTTCCCACTACCACAAAGCAGCAGTATTGTGATTTGTGATCTCGTACATGCAGGAAAAGGTCATCTTTGATGGATCTAATGACATATCTGTGAAATATATAATTTTACTTTTATTGTAACAAATAACATACAACATTTTCACAATGAGAAGGAATATTAAGTACAACCAGGGGCAAAAAAGTACCCCTTCACCTCTATATGATAAATTCAAGTACCCCTTCGACTGTTTTACACCACTGTATGTAATGTGTAATCATAAAATAACGTCATTATCATGTTCCATTGCTACCTTGTGATTTCAGCTTAAATTAAGAAGTATTCTTTTTTTTTCTCATTCTCTTCCCCTCCCTCCGGTCTCTGTTTTCAGGATTATCCACGAGGATGGCTACTCAGAAGATGAGTGCAAGCAGTACAGAGCTGTTGTCTACAGCAACACAATCCAGTCCATTATGGCCATCATCAAAGCCATGGCCAACCTTAAGATCGACTACGAGGAACCTACCAGAGCGGTAGGTATCTGACACTGATGTTGACACTGAAATTAGTAACATTTTACACGTCACCACCCTCTGCGGCCACGGGACAGAAGTGAAATGATGTTTGAAATACAGCAAAGATGGCAGTGTTGTTGTAGAAAGGAGACTGTGCATCTTCAACCAGTCAGTCTCTTTTTTGGATTCATTAAAAGTCTCTTAGTCTAATAAACAAATATTACCTTTAAACAAAATTTTATTTAGTCTCAGCCTTAGTTCTGTGTCAAATGTTCTTGCTAGTTTTTATCATATTTAATCAATCTCATCCTGTTTTAGTCAAGTTTGAGTTGACTACAAGTCTGGATGTTGTAGTCTTCAACTTTATCTATTTTAGTAGTTTTAGTCAATAAAAACTGTTGATAGTTTAGTCTTGTTTAGTCATTACTGAACATTTCAGTCAGTCTGGCCAAAACCAGTAATTTTGTCATTTTAGTCAAACTTATTTGACACAAGATTTCATCTCATCATTATCTGATGAAAAACACAGGTTGAATGATTAAACATGCAGCTTCGGAGAAAGCGTCTGGTCTAGTGATATGATGGTATCAATCTAAGAAATACTTCCACATAGTCAGTGTAGTCCGGATACAGCGCACGCAGCACAGGAAACGGAACTGCTGCATTGAGAAAAAAAAAAAATATATATATATATATAAAAATATATATTATTGTCTTTTTGTTGATGAAAATAAAGAGATTTTGGTCTCATCTTTTTCTTCAGCGACATTGCATGTTGCTATAGTCACAGTCAGTGTTTAATGACGTCGGTGCTGTCTCATCATCATCTTGTCTTAGTCATGGAAACAAAGGTTGTTGATGAACATATTTAGTCATAGTAACAAAATCGTCACTGAATGAAACCCTCTTGGAATCTGTTAAAGTAAGGTGTAGTATATCTGCACTCATTTCAGTGATATCATGTCTTCTTATCACCAGCAAAGCCTCCACTCTGCCTCCATCCTAACCACACATATCTGGCCTTGAGGATTTGAGGCAGCAGAAATTATGCAGCTTAAGAATTTCTCTCGAGTGCTGTGTGACAGTCTCTACTTGGAAATCAACTCTGGGTAGCAGATGCTTGAGATGGACTCCTGCGGTGCCATATATTTTCTTTCCCCACTTGCGTGCGTGCGTGTGTGTGTGTGTGTGTGTCTGTGTGTGTGTGTGTGTGTGTGTGTGTGTGTGTGTGTGTGTGTGCTGTTAAAAGGAAACAGTAAATCATCTCCACCCAGGGAGATTAGATGACAGGAATAAAATTCAGGCATTACTCATGAGGCGAGAAAATGATATTCTTTTTTCTATAAACCCATCATCACAAGTGTGATTTATATATTCTATTCTCACAGATCATTGGACAGATAATTTATAAGTAAGTATCTTTAGTCAGACGATGAAGCGATCAGTCAACTCCTACATCGGATGTGAATTTGAAACGATTATGTTATGAATTGGTAAAATGCTGAGAAAAGGAGGCAGCTGTCGTTCCTTTTACACAGTCCAACAATTCAACTCAGTGGCACAGGGTTTAGCTCAAATTTTAGATTTCATTTGCTGTTAACTTGGAATTGGAAGTAATAAAGCAGCAGTGTGTCGTGAAGTGTATGCAATTAATATTAAAACATGTATTCTACAATGCAGGTAATTCAATTCAGATTTATTTGTAACCCTAAAAGCCTTACTTTGCAGTTTCTGTACATCTTTGATACTTTTATTCTCTCCACATTTCACTCTCCCGGGCGACCTTCATTCCAGAGGAGTTGGATAAACATGGTTTTAATGTGGAAAGAGCTTTTTGACTGCCTGGTATATGTCAGGATTGGCTCTGCCAAGGTAGCTAGCGCTGCATGACAAGTTCTGCTGAATTAGGTTATTTGAGTTACACCTTCCCCCACTGCCGTGGCCCGCAGAGAGCCGTGAGTATCCTGGAACATTTCACGGATTTCAATTAAAAAGACAATATTTGTCTCAAAGCCGGAGGGAACGTAGGCAGCATCCAGCAGTATTCTGAAATCAGCGTGTGACTGAAATGGTTTGTCTGATTACTTCTTCTTCTTCTTCTTCTTCTTCTTCTTCTTCTTCTTCTTCTTTTTTTTTTTTTTTTTTTTTTTTTTTTTTTTTTTTTAAACACATGGAACAAGCTGCTTTCATTGTTCAAAAAATGATAATTGCTTCAAACTGTTGGTAAAATATTAGCTGGTACAGTGCCTGCCTTCATGCACCTATGTAGATAAGTCATGCTGTATTTTTAAGAAACATGGATAATTTCTTCCGTGACTCGTTGTCAGTGGATTTCATATCTGTAGTTGCAGATATTTTCATGACGGTATCATGATCAGACTATTTCAGGTTAAGGGATGCTTCACCTTCCAAATGACCATTTTTATATCAATTACTCACCCTGTGTTACATTGACATTGTAAAGAAAACTTTGCTTTTCTCGCATGCCTCCACGATGTTGGAAGTACTGAGCGTATGACTGGATAAATGAGACTTTGACAATACTGCACGAGTTGTGTGAGAGTTTGCAAACAGATTTTTTTGATATAGTTTTGCTGTTGTTAAACCTAGACTCCTTTCACTTTAGTTCAATCAGGAGAGACTTGTTCTGAGAAAAAAGAATATTTTATTGCAAGTATTTATAAGTATGAGAAATGTGAGAAGTCTTTGGTGATGAGACCCCATTGCAATGTCATCTTTTCCAGGAGGTTGGTAAAGACGTAGTAGATTAGGGATCCCCTGCTATGGAGTCTAGATCCTGGTGGTGGTCATATTGGTGATGAGATGAGATTAAGAGGGAGCTGAGGATCTGGATGCAAAGACGAGTGGGCTTTTGGTGAGCTTGTCCTGGGCTGGAGGTGACTGGGGTGGAGGAGGTTGCGAGGATTCCACCTAAAATGAAAGCTTAAAGGATAACTTCGGTATTTTTCAACCTGGGCCCTATTTCCCCATGTGTATGTGTGCGTATGATTCATAGGTACAACTCGTTTGAAAATTGGTTCAGTATTGAGGGAGCCGGCAGCCGTGAGGTAGATATGGGGGCAAATGCGTCCTGTATAAGTTTGCACATTAAAAGTGCTTTTTTTCCGCCACTGACCGGTTCAGATCGCCAGTGCTATCTCTGTAAATAGCATACTAAGTGTTTCCCTGACCCCTCACCTCCTCCTGGCTGTGTGTGACGTCATCTCGTGAGAGCTTTGCTTGTTGCCGGAAGAAAACAGGGTACGATATATACGAGGGCAAAGTATGCAACAGTAAATGTACGTCTCGGAGACAATTCTAGGTATCAGTATTACATGCATAAAGACATATTAGTTATACTTACTTGATGGATAGTTGACCATTTGGTCCCTGTGGTTTTGGCCGCCTCCTCCAATTTATTTTGGGCACATGAAAAAAGGTATCCAGCACTGCCCTGTTAATCAAAGGGGGGAAATCCTCTAACATAGTTACACAGCGTTTGGTAGTTTCTGTATCATCCCAGGACACATCGAGACCATGAATATTGGGCAACAGGTCCCACTCGTTGCAACACAGACATTCTTCCTCTGTGGGCATGGAGTCACAGCAACCACAGGAGCACCACCAGTCCTCAGAGATTCGCGTTCGTGCAGCCGCTGCTTCACCCTCGTCTGCTCGTTGGCCCTCTCTCTCTCTCCTTGTCTGCTCTTCAATTTGTAGGAGCTCCTCGTCCGTATACTCGGGCTCAAATAAGTACGGGCGGCCATCGTAATAAAAGGGCTCATCCTCATTCTCGAAATCGGGTAAATATGCAGCCATGATACCAATGCAGTAAAACTCTCAACTGTACTCCGGGACAACAAGCTCCACTCTGAGCGGCATTCGGCATGGCTCCTCCTCCTGTTTTCTTCCGGCAACAAGTAAAGCTCTCGCGAGATGACGTCGCACACAGCTTCACAGAGGTGAAGGGTCAGGGAAACACTTAGTATGCTATTTACAGAGATAGCACTGGCGATCTGAACCGGTCAGTGGCGAAAAAAAGCACTTTTAATGCGCAAACTTATATGGGACGCATTTGCCCCCATATCTACCTCGCGGCTGCCGGCTGCATCCGCCTCCCTCAATACTGAACCAATTTTCAAACGAGTTGTACCTATGAATCATACGCACACATACACATGGGGAAATAGGGCCCAGGCTGAAAAATACCGAAGTTATCCTTTAAGTTTGGCAGCAGCAACATGAAAGTCTGAAGGAGATTGTGACAAAGATTTATTGGCGAATCCGGAGAGGGAACACCCATAGCCAACTGATTGGTGGAAGTGGTGGGGGTGGAATAGAGAGAGAATTGTGAATGGATATAGCATAAAGAAAGTCTGCCTGATTGAACTTAGGCTGAGCTTCATTTCCTCAAGCTTTCCTCCTGAATTCAGTGCATCAGAGGTTGAGGAATTGACATACAGTACAAACGATCATTTGGGTCGTTGAAGGTGAGCTTAGGAAAGCCAAGGTAGTCTGCATTCTGTTCTCCTGACCTCCAGTGCCACTGGATTTTGATTACTACCACATGGTACAAAGTGGAGGGCCAGACAGTGGTGAACTAATGCATGGACGTCTGCTCTTAGAAGCTAACATCAAAAGCTTATGTAAGTTTTTGTTCAGTGTCAAACACAAAGGGTCAGAGTGGTGCGATGAGGGCGATGTACACTGTGGATGATACCTCTTCTCATGCTCGGAGTGGCTATAAAGTAAAGTTCAGTTGCAGGATCACAGTGAACGCCACCCTGCTCACTTACTATAGAGGCAAGTAAATACTGTTAATGTTCTGTCTACCATTTGATGCATGTGTTTTTCCAGTCGCTGCACCTCAATAGATTAATTCATTACAGTGCAAAGTTTAGTGGTTGATGACTGTGTAATGACCCAGGGCCGATTCAGCCAATGATGGGTGTATCAGTTGTGGTCGTGCCAATCCTCACGCTTTGGTTTACTTTACTCTTTGCCTCTCTGTTGTGCGTAGGGCTGCAGGAACTTGAAATTAGATAACATGGAAAGAAAAATGTTGTTTTTCTTTACATCATGGATTTTTTTTTTTTTTCATGGTCGTAGTAGTTTCGAAGTAAAGCAGATTGAGATAGCTGTTTAGAAAGAGCACTATTACCAAGAGCACACACTGGATACCCACAACAACAGCAAGCTGTAGCTGGTATGTTGGCATGGCAGCTCACTGACGACCTCTCTCTATATCTGATTTATGTCTGCCAGGCAAGTTAATGCAGAAAATGACCAGTTCATTGAATCTGTGCTTTCTTTTTGTTTTGTTGCCCTTGTTACTGGTGGTTTCATTCCATTAAAGCCTCTGTCACAGTTAACAATAAAGCTCAATGATGAGAACAGTTCTGCAGTAATCAGTCTTTTAACTGCAGCTCTTAACTCTCAGTATTGTACACTTCTTAGTAAAAGAATGATTGATGTCCACCATTACTGAGCCTCACAAGAGATAAGTAGAATACTCGCCATGTGAAAAGAAAGTCTTAAATATACCTCTGCAGTGTCAACCTTATCAACTTTGTCCACTGAGGAAGAATAATGAGTTAATACACTTTATATCTTTTTAGAGACCTACTCTATCTAATGGTGTGTGTGTGTGTGTCTTTTCAGGACGATGCCCGCCAACTGTTTGCCCTGTCAGCAGCAGCAGAGGAGCAGGGCATCCTGCCAGAAGACCTGTCCAACGTAATCCAACGACTGTGGGCCGATGGCGGCGTCCAGAGCTGCTTCACACGGGCCCGAGAGTACCAGCTCAATGACTCAGCAGCCTAGTGAGTGCCTTAATAACATCAAACAACATCAAGGCTATTATACGGCTCACTGTGTTTCAAAATAAAAATGTGCTTTATTATGCACAGACAACCTTGGCGACCAGACTTTCAACAGACGTTTGCTGATAATCTCACATCAGAAATAAATAATGATATATTGATAGAAGTAGGGATAAGGCTGTAAATATCAGTACATAGCCCGTACACCGTTAATCTGCACACACTGCGACGCCACACAGCTGGTTCAGTATCTGCAAAATTTCCCTTTATGTTCATTGTCTTCTGTGGCGATCAGCAGTGATGTGGTGGTTCACTTTTACACTGTGATCTGTAGCCTATAGTTCAGCTTTAGCTTCTAACTATCTTTGTCTTTTTAACCTGTTGTTGCTGCTGAGTCAGTTGACATCCTGGATATATCCTTCAAACACAGACTGTAGACCCCTCTGTCTGCTTCTCTCTGGAATCACTGTTTCATTTCTCCAAAAATATGATAATATTTCCTCAGGGAGTGCATTTAGTTACAGTTTTGGCTCCATGCTTACTGCGACAGCTTGTCAGACCATCACAAAGGGGCGGGGCTTAGCGAAAGGTCAACTGCATTTTTATTTCTGTTGTCATTTTTAGTCATAACCATAACATTTAAAGATAAACAGTTAAACACGGAGGTCAGACCTAATTGACATTGCTTATTTTGTATACTGTTTTGTTTTGCTAGTGTGTTTGATGTACCAAATCTATGAAATGTGCTGTTGTGGACGGGGCCGCAGCAAAATGTAGCCTATTTTAGCCGCCTAAGAAGACCCATCTAAAAAAATCTGTTTAAGTGTACACTATATTAAAAACATTTTCTCTGCTTTACCTTACACACTAACTAATCAAGGCAGCAGCAGACAAAATTCAATATAGCATACACTTAAAACTGGTAGTGATTATTTTTAGGTAGGTCCTTTTTTAGGTGGCTAAAAACTAACAAATTCAGGCAGCGTTTGCTCAGTGCCGATTCATTTTATGTACGTGACGTGTGGGCTTTTCTACCTGGAAATTATTGTTAACAAACATTGTGATTCAGTCTGTTACAGCTGATTTTAATATAGAACTTTATTGTTTCTTGAGTAATTTGGTTGCTCCTGTGATAAGGTTTTTTTAATACAGTTTGAGGGGCGGAGCAGTGTGAGGAGTTTCTGCAATACATTTCATGTCCTCCACCCTGCATTTAGGATTATCTTTAATATACCTACATCTTCCTCTAAAGTTGGCCATGCTGCCGAATATCCTATATTTGTCACTTTTCATTCCCCTTTTCTCTCTATCTGTTACACCGGCACCATTCACTGTTTTAGTAATTGAAAAGTTTTCTCTGCTGGATTCAGTTTTATCAGCATCACAGCAGTGGCAGTGGAGAAAGCCCTGATAGAGAGCAGCTGCTGTTATTAACAATGAAGGCATTAATGCTTTGTTTAACCAGTTGCTTTCACTTTCAAGACCAGTCACGTCGCTAATCTGCAGCGACACAGCAACCGCAGCCTCTCGCCGCAGGTCTTAATTACCTTAATGACCCTCATTGCTGAGCCGCATTGTTATACTGTACCAGTGTAATAACAGGGAGAGCATTAGGTAATTGTGAGAGGCTGCTGGTGAGAGGTGAGAGGTGGTTATCGCTCTGACCCCTCTGGGATGCACTGCTGCTCTGAAATGGAAATCCAGTGAAAACGCCGAGCCATAGTCTCGTTCACTGCCAGCTGGCTGCAAGCTGCAGCAGGAATTAACTGCACTGATTTCTGTTTAATACACAAGGCCTTTGATAATACTATGACACCTCCAGAATGTGCTGTAGACTGTCAGGGGAGTGTTAAGTCTTTCAACAATGATTACTTTGCAGTCACGGCTGTATTCAACTTCCAGGGGGAGTGATATTGTTCTCTGTTTGTGCTGGCCAGTATAATCATAACTGCTCCATCTCTGCTTCGCTGCTCTTGTTAAAGCCGAGGGGACCTGGAAGCATACCGCTAAACAGGGCCTCACATTTAGTAGCTGGGAGAGTGGACAATGTTTCATCATGGCTTTGTAGAGCGCTGAGAGAGGCGGTTGCTATAAGAGAGGACTAAATGAGTCTGGCACCAGACCATAATCCATGTCTGAGCACCTGCTGAGAGCCAGAGAAAGGAAGGGGAAGATAAAGAGGGAGAGAGATGGCACAGCTCACGTTAACAGAGATCTTGCTCTTCTTCTCTCTCACAGCTTTAACAGAGGGGGACATGTACTATACACTCTCAGAATAATGGATCCAGCTGCCATTATTTCAGGAAACAACATTTTCACACATCTGAATGTGTAAAAATGAAATGGTCTCCTCACACTGTAATCGCTCGGTGTGCAACAATAGAAAGTCTGTTATGGTTCCACATTAGGTCTCTGATAATAGTTTACTCCTGTGACAATAAATAAACATGGGGAAGTTATGGCTGGACCATATGGCTTATAAACAGTGTCGCCATATTTGAGGCAATATCACAATACATGATATTTATCTCAATATTTCTAAATCTTCTAACTACCATGAATGACTATAATACTGAACTACTTAATAAACTACTGCTACAGTAAAAAAAAAAAAAGTAAAATAATGTTATTAGAAATTGTCAAAGAACTGTTAAAAAAAGGTATATAAGTACTGTTATAAAAAAAAGTTGAATAACGCATTGTTATTATAAAGTAAAATAAAGTACTGCTATAATTAAGTACAATGAAGTACTATAATAATATAATTAAAGTGAGGTCAAAAAAGTTAAAGTACTGTTATAATAAACATTAAAGTACTGTTTTGATAAGATGAAAGAACTGTCATCGTAAGTTTAAAAAGTACTGTTATAATAAAGTAAAATAAAGTACTGTAATATTAAATTAATAAAAGTTAATTTTTTTAAATAAAATGGCATGACAATTTATACTATGTTCACGATATAGTTATTTTATATACCCCAAGTGAAGCCGGTGATAGATATATTACCCACCCCTAGAGGAAGTGGTTTTAAAATCTCTTGTAAAACCTTATAAAACAACCATTATTTTACCATTGACGATTCTCTGTCACAATACAGCTGAGTACCTTTTCTTATTAGAGTGTAAGCCGACCAAATTCAATTAGTCTTCAGGGCTTATAAACCCACTGGCCAAATGAAGCAGTGATACAATATCTGATGTGTGGACTACAAAAGCAGCCTAAACCTGTCTCTGTGGGGAGCGGGATTATGATTAAACTGTCAAACACGTGGCATCAAGTAGTGGTGCGGAGGCTCTAGTATCTACACCTGGGCTGCGGCTCGTATGAGATTACATCCAGCACCAGTACTTTGTTACACAACACTTTTTTTATGTTTATTGTGCTGAAAGAATGACAGAAAAATGCTTTTCCTTCTTTTGAATCTCTCCCATGGTAACATTATATGTGTAAAAGTTGACTGTGAGTTTTTATTTAGCGCTTTGATCAGGCTGGAGGCATGCTGGCCTGGAGAGTGAGTTTGCTTTATTTGGCTAACAGTAAAACAAAATAGGAGGAGGAAGGAAGGATAACTATATCTGAAGAAGAATAGACAGCAACATGGGAGTTTCACTGGAAATGTACAAGTTTGATTAGGTCTTTCACTACACCCTCACAGAAACCCCACCATGTCTTTTGGGACTGCCCTGTCATTAAAGACTACTGGAGAGGGAGACACAAAGCTCTACAAGATATTTTCAAATGTTCGGTACCACTAGAGAGGAAGTTTTTAATTTTTGGGTGTATACCTCAAGATAAATGGTTGATGAAAAGACTTCTGGTAGCCGGAAAATAGACTCTTACCAGGAAATGGTTATAACAGGAGAGCCCAACCCTAAAGGTATGGACGGACGTTACAATGGACATTGACAAAATGGAGAACATAACAGCATTTGAAAAAGTGGAATATTGGAAGATTGACGGTAATATTGGAGCACTGAATTGGATGCAGGGATGTAAGAAAATATGAGTATCACAATATTATGCTTTGCTTTGTAACGATTCTCAAAAACACTGAATTGATTTTTCAATTAATTCTTTAAAAATATATTGATAACACTGTCTTTTTACATTTTTTGATTTTCTTAATTTGATTATATAAAAAAATCACGCAAGCACCCAATTTTTTTTACTGATATAGGTGAAGGCTTAAAGTTGTGCATAAGTAAGGGTGTTGCCGCTTTGAGCGACAGACTGTATGTGTGGTGCCATCACAGTCTGAGTCAGATCCGCTCCTCGCTCCTCCACAACTCCATCCTCTCCAAATTTGGTGAATTCTGGCTCCAAAAATCCAAGATGGTGACAGCCACACTAGCAAAAAATTTGTGCCCACAAACCAATGGCTGACGTCACGGTGGCTACGTCCATTATTTTTATACAGTCTATGATTACAGCACACACAGAAGTCACATGCCTACCTTCTCTGCTCAGGACACCATTACTCCACTGTATCTTTACATAGCAAATAGTTGTTTGCTGCTATGTTGATGTTCTGAATGTATGCAGCTCCTGTAAAACTGTTTGTTAGTGAGGTTGCTGTGTAAATGGAGTTATCAGAGGTAAAGCAGGAGCCTTGTGTTCTATGACAGCACATCAACTCTTGTAATACGGCTGTAAATTTGAACCTGACTGTGCCGAGTCGACACAGTGCTGTTAGATGGCCGGCGTGAGGAACTTCTGTCCTTCTCATGTCTTCGCGAAGGAGCAGATGAGACCTGAAACAACCCTCACACCTTACCTTAACACCTTAAGACCCGTCCTCTCTGTGAGGTCACAGGAACATGCTTTTAATTTGTATTGTTTGTGTGTGTTCCCAACAGCTACTTAAACGACCTGGAGAGGATAGGCAAGCCAGATTACATCCCCACACAGCAAGACGTGCTGCGGACCCGAGTGAAGACCACCGGCATCGTGGAGACGCATTTCACCTTCAAGGACCTGCACTTCAAGTAAGATCCCCCCCGTTCACAGCTCTCTAACTCAGCTACACATTTTGTGAAACACTGTTAAAAGTGTTGGAGATGCAAATCAGGTTATATTGTGCAGCTCAGCATTTCATTTCATCTTCAAAAGGCCATATCCGACTAATTTACTCAACAACCGCCTCAGCTAATAAACTTCCATGAAACAGAAAGAAGCAGCGGTGCTGTCTCACACAGCAAAGGACACACTGTAGATTTAATGGCTGTTTTTTTTAGGTCATTATCTAGTAACTAAACTTATCAGAGAGGGTGAGATGCCTTTAGGATTCGGCCTCAGCAGGTGACAGCAATTATTTTATAAGGCTCATGCTCACCACCTGACATGTATCAACACATTTTAGTTGGAATAGCTCTGACGGGTGCCTGAAATATTTTTCATGTGTGGATTTTGGCAATAAAAAAAGCCATAAAAGCCAAATTAAATCTCAATGCATAACTGTGTTATTTGGAGATAATAACAGCAGACTTTGAACTTTATGAGAAAGCGAGCGAAAAAGCATAAATTATGAAAAAAGATGAACTGTTGTTACAGAGTGTTTCACCGTGTTCTGACAGTAATGACCATCTGATTTTGCCGACTGAGGAAAATGAATGTGTATGTGCTCGTGAGTCATGCATTTATGTTTGTACAAAGAGTTTTCTGTTTGTTTGTCACTGCACAATGAGTTCCCTCTTCGGAAAGTCAACAGCATGCAGAAAAGAAAACATTTGTTTTCCAATTTGTGGAGTTGCTGTCTCATTGCCTTTAACCCAAACAGCTTGTCCCACTCAGTACTGTTACAGTGGGAAGTCTATACATATTTCCCACACGGAGAGATAGAGCCATCACTTAACTACAAACACACAAATCAGTGAAAACACATAAACAGATTTCCTTTTTGTAGTCCCACACAAACAATATGCATATGTGTGGGATTTTTCTGTGTAACTGAGTGTTTATCACAGCAGGATCACACACATTAGTAATGGCAAAATGTACTACGAAGTACAAACTCATCATAACCCCTTCTGGTTTGTTGCTTTAAATGCCATGCTTCTCAGAAGTTATCTCATTTTACAATGTAAATGTTTTGTCATTTTGTTTATGTGATCTGACAATACATTGCCCTCTGTTCATATGAGATAATAAAAAATCTGAAGGCAGCCTTCAAACCACAGACACACATGGTGTACTTTATATCTGATGGAGACATTAGTCACCACTCAGGCTCTGGAAACAACAGAGGAAATTGTTTGTGAAATATCAAAGATCAGAAAACGTTTTCAGTCAGTCTTCACTTGAGCTGCTTTATCAAGGCAGTGGAAATGAAAAGGTGTGTGTCCGTGTGCTAGTTAAGTCTCATCTTTATGTCTTGATTTATTATATTTCTCTTTGGATGACATAAACCAAATCCAGCGAGCACATGTTTACCTCCAGCACCTCTACAGTGCTGCACTGCAGAGATACATTCAGCCTATGTAAGCAGGAGATGAGAGCACTGTTGAGGTAAACAGTCTAAAGTGTGTCACTGTTATAATGAGCTCTGCTTACTCAGCATAAAGCCGGCCGTCTGTGGAAGTCAAAGTTCTGCTTTAATGAACCAAATTCTGCAAAGTGAGAACTCCTTAGCAGAAGATTAGGTGTGTCACTCTACCTTTAGCTGCCAGCTGAAAGCTTCCTGTCAATGTTGCATGGAGACAGTCTTCAGAGTGGCACCATCCAGACAAGCACCTCCCCTCGTCTACCTACTGTAGGTGCCCTCCGTCTTCATGAATAAGTCATGTAGGATCTTAGTGAAACCCTGCCGCTGCTGCCATGCCTCAACCTGCCTTAAGGTCGCCTGTTACCACAGCAACTGCGCTGAAACCAAAATGCCAACAAATGCCAGGAAAAATGACGAGGCCTGTGCAGCGAAACACCCTGCCCCGAAGAGAGGAAGAGGCAGACATGTATTCACAGTGTACCGAGGAAGGAGAGCGCACACACATTTCCAGAGGGAGACCTTGAAGCTGCTGTCTGTCAGCATGAGGAGTATAGTTTCTCCCGCGCTAAGTCCCATCTGCTCCCCCATTAAAAATGGCATGTTTATTCTGTGTGTGTCTACGCAGGATGTTTGATGTCGGAGGCCAGCGGTCAGAAAGGAAGAAGTGGATCCACTGCTTCGAGGGAGTCACGGCTATCATCTTCTGCGTAGCCATGAGCGCTTACGACCTGGTCCTGGCCGAGGACGAGGAGATGGTGAGTGAAGCTTAAAGGGAAAAAAAAGTGGTGCATGTATTTCACAGTAAAGCCCATTCCCAGGATAATTTAAATGGGGAGTAGAGGTTGAGTTTTCCGTGAACTCATTTCCTTTATGTGCCCTAGTTGTGCTCTCTAATAATCTCTTTATCTCCACATTTTGTGCCCGTCCCACCTAGAACCGGATGCACGAGAGCATGAAGCTGTTTGACTCTATCTGCAACAACAAGTGGTTCACAGAGACATCCATCATCCTGTTCCTCAACAAGAAGGACCTGTTTGAGGAGAAGATCGCCCACAGCCCTCTGACCATCTGCTTCCCTGAGTACACCGGTACAGTCTCAGTACAATCACAGGACAGGGCCGAGTCACTGACAAAGCTTCAGTTTCTGTTTCATTTTTACAACTGCTTGATTGATAACAACACAAACATCAGTTTCGAATTTAATCTTCAGATATTTCTTTGATGTGATATGTCCACTGTCCAGTTAAATTTTACTTCTTTGCCCCTGTAACAGAATCACAAAACAAGGTTTGTGCCTCTTTTACATTAAAATCACACAGAGAGGCATCCGTTTCTCTGAACAATTATTACCCAACAGTCTTTGAAAAACCCTGAAGGTTCTTCAACAACACGTATTGCTGTTGTTCTGTAAGTTTTTCCAAAATCCTTCAAGACTCTTTAATCATCTGGATCAAAACATCTTCTGTTTGCTGCACGATAAAAACTATCCTCAACCCATTTCTTTATTTGCAACAATATTCACTAATCCAGGTTGTCAGAAATGACCATAACTCTGTTTTGTACGACACAAGAAAAATTACAAAATGTTCATTTGTATGAAAATGTAAAATAATTTCTCTCTTCTCACTGATTGTGCTGTACTGACCCAGTCCTCTTCTGTTTTATGCCAATTAAAAAACTTAAAATTTAAAGTGTTAAAACTAAAAAGACAGAAAATGTGAAACAATAGAAACTGAGGTAAATATAGACAAATTTATCTGATGGTAAATTATAAACATTTTGGTTCAGATTGTATTCTTATTTTTGTAATTGAACCTTTATTTAACCAGGAAGTTCCACTGAGATCAGAAACAGAGACCTGGCCAAGGTAGCAGCCAATCAAACCCATTTAAAATGCAACAAATACAAAATATGATACAAAAATCCACAATAAAACAACAACTATTCAAACATAGTGGCCTCTCAAGAAACATGTCTGTCACCACATTCTCTGTGATGCCTTTAAATTCATCATTCAATTGATATAAGATCTAAGGGCAATCTCCATGTCCATTGCGCAGAGTAGGAGATTTTCCTCAGTTTTCCTCAGATCTGTTAAAACCCAGCATACAATAAATAGCAACCACCTGGAGGAGCGTAGCTTTATAAATAAAAATATACCAGTGCTTTTGTCTGCGGGTGGTTAATGACGTCCAACCCACCAAATCATAAAGAATGCAGTGATGAGTATAAATTTAGCAAAGACAAAAGTCATTTTGAGCTCCAATCTTTCTTTTGATGAGAAAACTTGCTGGACCAATTAATAATTTTTCATCCAGATGGTTAAAAGTGTCTTTGAGAATTGTGGAAATTGTGAAAAGGTTTTTTAAAATTTGTATTCATATTCAGGTGTCTCTATAGAACATCATGACTGTGTGTAGCTTCCCAAGCTGCTAATCTGACTGTGAACAATGACTGGCACACACAAGAGAAAGTCCTGGCCCAAATATTTTATCTGCATACCCATCGGCTACAACAGAAGCCGCAGAATATTGGCCTTTGCCCCCAGAGGCTAAATCATCAGCAGAGGGATCGCTGACTGGTTCCAAGATCATTATCTGTGTGACTCAGATGTAATGGTGCTACAAGAGAGGCACAGAGCGAGAGGCTGCGCATAATGAATTCGACACTGTGAAGAAAATGATGCTTTAAAGAACTGCTGACACTATCTGATCCCCGTCAGCAGACTGGCACTCTCATCACACTCTCTGTCCTTCAGGCCCCAACAAGTACGAGGAGGCCCAGGCTTACATCCAGACCAAATTCGAGGACCTGAACAAGAAGAAGGACACCAAGGAAATCTACACCCACTTCACCTGCGCCACCGACACCAAGAACGTGCAGTTCGTGTTTGACGCTGTCACCGATGTCATCATCAAGAACAACCTGAAGGACTGTGGCCTCTTCTAAAAGTTTGTCTGAGAAAGAGTCAAGGTGAGTTGAGAGAAGTGACTCAGGAGATGATGCAGCTCTCTAACAAGTCACGACACGAAGCCTGTTTGAAATGAATGATTGTGTGATCTTTTTTTTTTTTATTTCTAGATTACTTGAAGAGTTCTGATGACCTTAAAGATTGGGGGAATATACACACATCATGAATGACTGCACTGGCCAACCACGATTTCTGCTTTGATCTGCTTTTTATAAAGACACCTAAGAGACTGAAAACCCGACGAGCCTCGCAGAATTTCAACGAATGCTGATCTAGCCGCTCGTGTCGTTAACTCTTTGGGCTATGACCACAAAAATCAACATTTATTATTGTATTTTTTTTTTTGTTCTTTTTTTCTTCTTCTTTATTTTCAATTACTAGCGGAGGCAAAGGAAAACTTTTTTATATAAATGCATTCATTTTACTTTTAGAAAATTCTGATGTGCAAATTATTAAACTTTTAATCACATGAAGCTTATTTTTTAAGAGATGAAGCACAGGCATGGACATAAAATATGATTGATAAAAGGAAAGTGCTTTTTTTATAATGTTTACATAAGTTCATCATTCATAGCCAAACCGTATATTGTTCTGCATGACTCAACATGGCAAATATTAGCTCTGTAATCTGCACAAATTATCTAACATTCCTACAAAAAAAATGAAAAGAAAAAATGTTAAAACGCTGAAAAAGAAAAAAAAAAAAGCTTCACGTGCAGGGGGGAAATTACGGCAAAATTCTAACTGATATTTAAAGTATGTGTGTACCTAACATTCTCTCACTTTTTATAGTACCATTTCCATGTTTGTCGCAGTATGTTTGTGCCTTGACTTCTGTTTACAACCAATTCCTAGATATGCTTTCAGTACTGTTTGACCTACTGTGCGCCTATATTTTTCTTGCATTTTCTGCCTAGCACCTATGAATATATAGTGATTATTAATGAGAGACGAAAATCTAATTCAGAAAAAAAAGGTTAGTGTCTTTTGGTAAATATTAAAATGCTTTAAAGTCCTATATGATTTAATTTAAATAAAAGTAGAGATCACCTGACTCCTGCACGTTGTTCATCTTCTTTGTGTTACTTGTATGGAGGGTTTTTGTTTTTTTTTTTTTTGTGGTGGGACCTTACATGTGTTTTTACTGTTGTTACACAAGAGGATCAGATTACAAATACAAATACAATGAAAGTGCCCGGGCTTTTAATATAATCATTACTCTGCACAAAAGCGAGACTGTGTAACCTTGCTGAACAGCAGCCAATGTGGCCGCGAATGGCAAATAAGGGACAGTGGTACATGCCAAAATGTAGTGGAATAGAAGCACTATTATGAAACAGTCAGAAAGTCAGTGACATTAATTACAAAGTGATTTCTATTGAATGTAAGCTAACATTAGCCACTGTAAGATCCAGGTCACATCAGGCCAAGTAAGGCTTAAACATTAAAAAACCCCAGTTTAGGAAACTGAGCATGGGTGTTTTAATTTTTCAAGAGGAAGAACGTGTTATTTTGTCTTTCAGAAGTTATATTATCTCGCTTTAAGCACTCATTTTTGATCATTCTGGCCTTTTTAAAGAATGTGTCCATTCATAGTTTGTATAATAATTCAGTTTTATGCTAAGAACACACACTCAAGTTGACCGAACCACAACCTGGAGACATGTCTTTCAACAGGCTGACGGCACCACCTACTGGACACATGAAATACATGCATCAGTTATTTTTGGGATGGATGAATCCCAAATTGTGAGATTCTTGGTTTACAGCAGCAGGTTTTCCAGTCATCGCACCGGAACAGTAAGTACACAAGACAAATGCTTATCAGGAGAAAAATAAACACAATAAATAAAATATCAGAGTACAGAGTACATTAAACTTAGCATGATACAATAAAGGATGCGTGTCTATAGAATATGTGTAGAATAAACTATAAAGAACATACTGGAATACACTTTAAATTATTGTTGAATGAATGAACTTAATTTATATAAAATGCACAAAGTGCTTTACAATTCAGCAGCAGAGACAAACAGCAAAAAATAAAACCATGCAATTACACAACACTCATTCAAGCAGAAAAGAGAAGAATTAAAACATTTATCAATCAATAATAAATCAAGTAATACACATATTGACAGTATTAAAACAGATAGATGCTAGTTATAGGCTGTGTTAAAAAGATGTGTTTTGAGTCATCGTTTAAAACCGTCCACTGAGCCAGCAAGTCCAATATCTAAAGGCAGGGTGTTATATATTTTTGGAGCGTGGCAGCTAAAAGAAGCATCACCAAAGGTTTTTGTAGTGACATTAGGGACAGATAAAAGGGCAGCTGCAGCTGTTGCGCTTGAGATCGTTCTTGGTCTCATGAACACCTTTTGAAGGTCTCCGTTTCATCTCAGTCTCAACCACATTCATACTTGTCTCAATCTCAGCCAATGAGAATCTGAGATTGTCTGAGACTGTGAGACGGTCAAGACCGTGAATGCAGGGATATCGTTAAATTGCCTGAGCACAAAGGAGCATTAATTAAAGATGGTTAAGTTGATTTCATCTCCTTGGTGTTTGTTATTGTCATAGAAAACACAGGAAAATTCCCACACATTAAATTCTCTGATGCCTTTTAATTATTTCATCAAGACATTTCTCATGTTACACCTATACATACACACATTTATATATACTGTATATGGCCATAGATAAGAGGATAGATAAAGAGGAATCTTCATATTTTCTGTGGGTGTTTTTATGGGATGTAGATCTTCCAGATCAGTTTGAGGAGTGCCCAATGTTTGCATGCCCCCATTTTCTCATAAGCGTATCACACAGTTTTGACTGACACTGCTCTGGTCTCGGTCTTGACTTAGTCTCAGTTTAGTCTGTCTTGACTACAACACTTGATGAATATACTAAACTACTTCAACTAAAATCTAACATACAAACATAGGGTATCACACCCATACATTAGACAAATGTGCAGATTTGTTGTTGTTGTTTTTTTGTTTTTTTTTAAAGCAGTTAGGCAGAGTGGGAGTGTAAAGATGTGCAGATTCACCATGTACACAGTTACTGAAGGAGCAAATCTATAATGCTGAGAGTTCTCTGTTAGGTGACAGAGTTATTGCTTTAGACAGAAAGGTTTTCCAGTATCTGTCCATTTGTTTCTTTTTTCCTTTCTAGTTTTTTTCTCTAACAAAATCATGCCAATTAAGTATGACTACCTAACGAAAAAATTAACTGAAAACACCCTGTCAGGGCCAGAACTCTACACTGCTAAGAGATCCAGTCACCAACCCATTTCCACATAAAAAGCTCAACATTATGTTTCTCTTTGCCTGCTGATGTCTGTCTCCAAACTGGAGTTTGTTTAACAAAAGATAGTATTAGGTAAGTTTGAGAGATTCGTGTTCAGGCAGGGGTGTAAATAGAGACAGTGCAGGCAGCACGGTGTCACTGGGGCCCGTGATATGGTAGGGCCCATAGAGAGAGTGGGCCCTCCAACAATGTGTTGGGTGAAAAATGAGCCCTTATGAGTGATTGCCACCTTGGAAATATGCCTGTGTTTAAAAAAAAAAAATAGTGCCATTTGCAATATATGTGCTCAAAAAAGGCAAACCCAACTCTGGCATGTTTTTATTTTGTTTGTTTTGTTTTGTAAAAATATTCAGTAGCATCTATAACAATATTTTATGTTTATTCAACATATACTATAAATCGTTATTGGAATTATTAAACTAATTTCTTTTTTGGGTGTTTTAGTAATTTTTGGGGGGTATTTTTTGTCATATACAGACATGCAATGATGATTTTATTTTATAAGTGACTGCCACGTTTAAAATATCATACCATATGCCTCAATATGGTACGATATTTTATGATTACTCTACATATATATCTCAAAAGGAAGTTGGCTGACATGGGAGGGTCGTTGCCTTGATTAGGCTCACCTGGGCTTTCAGGCTATAAAAGCTGCCTCCTCTGTTCTCTTGTCTCTCCCTTCCTTCAGCTGACACCCACTGAGTATCATTGGTTTTGATTTGCACCCTCACCACACACACCCAAGCATGGCTTTCATAACTGACTTTGCTGACCTACACACTCCATTGATTATTTAAGTTAATTTTAGTTTAATAAATTTGGCTTGTTTTAAGTAAATCTTTTGTGTTTACTCCCTTCTTGTCACATTCACTGAGCCAGTTTGTGACAAATGGGGGCTTGTCCGGGATCCGTTAGTAAGGAAATCCCAGTTAAACAAAGCCACAAACAATTGGGTTTGCACTTATCAAACAAACAGTTGATCCAAAACCCCAGAAGTTAAAACAGAAGGGACTACACCAAAACTCTCTACAAGTTAACATGTGTGCCACTCTCCAGCAATACTTTTATTTTGTACAAATTAACCAAACAAGCAAACACCATACTCTTTAGGAGCTAACAACATCCTGGACGAGCCCCCACTTTGTCACAGCCCGGCTCAAGGGAGGGACAAAGAGGACACATGACTTTTAACTTAATATTTATTTACCAAAATGTGAAGTTACCAATGCAATATAAACTATGTAAATCAGTAAGTTCAGTAGTGTGTTGCATGTTGTTTGAGTGTAAAGTGAAGTGTAATGAGCAAAGAAAATAAACACAATAGAGAACAGCCGAAACCAAACAACAACCCATGACTGACTGACTCCAGCAGCTTATATAGCTGAGGAGCAGCAGCACACCTGAAAAGAGTTCATTAGTGATGTGCTCCCTGCTTGTCTCCTTAAAAGGGAAAGGACAGCCCAAGCTGGAAGGTAAGAGGGCTGTCACATATGCAATGATTGCTGGGTAATATCTATGTTGATACGGTCCAGTGTCTGTTTAATCATGTGATGAGACGATATGCGACACTGTAGCTTGCACTGGGTCCCACTGTAACTACCTCACGCCACTGTGTCCACGCCCACCTGCAGGTCACAACATAAAGACAGAAAAAGGACATCTGAAGACAGACAGTGGACAGTGTCTTATAGAAACCAATATTTCTTGTCCTCTTATTAAAGATGAATTTGCTTCATTCAGACAGATGCACGGTCACAATATGCTTTCAGACTGTCTTACATCTGGATTAAGCAGCGTATAAAGAGGGTGAGAGGCTGCTCATGGTGATATCCACATCGCACAGATAAGAGGGCTTATTAACGATGCTCATATCAGCTTAACGACAAGCTCTCAGTGCACCGACAATCCCCTAGACTCATCCTGTCAGCCTCCTCCATATGCCCTGCAGAATAGTAATACCCACGTTGAGACAGATTAAGATCAAGAGACAGTGAAGTAGCACTGCAGAGACATAGGACAGGGATTGTGTGCTTTATATGCATTTACACTGTGTGACAGAGAGGTCGAGGTCTGAGGACGATACGATGTGGAGCAAATACTGACGAGGGGCCGATGAGTGGCTCTTGTGGTTAAGACACACACCATATGACTGGTCTGATTCCAGGCGGGGGCCTTTGTTGTGCGTCATTACCACTCTCTCTCTATCTCTTCTCCGTTTCCTGTCACCTCTCTACTGTCTACCCTCAAATAAATGCACAAGTTATCAATAAATAAATAAAATAGAAGTGGACACATCATATTGGAGTTGTTGTTGAACACTGCTGCATGCATATAGGTGAGGGTTTGGGAGAGGCTGCTCTGAAACGGTGCACATTATTCATAAGGTTTTAATCACCGGTGCTTTTTCAACCACTTCAATAAAACTTCCTGCTGGTATGCTTCAACTGGAATCTGTCTCCCAGTGAGTCAGTGTGTGAGTCACTGTGAGCAGTCACTGTTATGCTCAATGTTAACAAGACTGAGTTCTGCTCATTTCAATTTCAGCTTGATGTGCAGGCGTTAACATCTATCTACTGCTGACGATGAACAGCAACAATCAATAGTCAGTGACATGGAGGCAATATGATATACACAGTATATATTCTAAATATAACTAAATAAAAAACCCAAGTATATTAACAGAGTTGTGCAGTCTTGTTTTCTCCAGCTCAGGAGATTCTGAGATCAGTTCAGTTTTTTAGAAA